GCTGTGAGACCTAGAAAAGGCAGAGCATAGCATCCAAGACCACCCATTTGTCAGAATTCCTTAAAGCCTCCAGGGAGCAGAAGAGTTAATAAAACACATAAAACTTTTTTCAAAAACATATTTTATGTTGATATAGATAAATGTGTCCACCAAAGGAAAAGTTTGCTTAACAGTTTATGTAGAGATACAATAGAGACAGTAACAAATACTTTGGAGTTGGAGTGTTGAGGATGTATTATATATACATATGTCACATATGTGTTGTAGGTTTTTTCTTTTTTTTTTTTAAATAAGCCTTCATTCATGCTTAGGTAGCCAAACTCTACCACAAATCTTTTGTTTCAAGTCCCATTGCTCTCGAGAACACTGTTCAGGCATGAGAAGCCACAAAAGTTTCTATCTAATTTTGAAAACTACTTCATGAACTTTCAGACTCAGAGCCTCAAGGCAGTTTTTTTCTCAAATATTAGATGTTTTTGGACCTTGCATACTCTGGGTCTTTCTCCAAAAGGCCTTTCCCAATCCTCATTTCAGATGTCACTCCCTACAAGGAGGAAACCATAGGTGTGGCATTGGAATTTTAATTTTTTTTCAGCAAGCCGTTCTGAAATGAATTCTCATCATCACTAAATTTTTCATTTCTAACTACAGATATGTGAAATTATTACCAAAATAACTGCTGTGACATAGAAGTAGTGGTTAATCTGTAAAACGGTTTTTTGTGGCTTCTTGAGCACTTTTGAAAGTAAATAAGTGCTGCTTTTTCATAACAAAATGAGTGGTTTGCTGCAGTCTGATGACTCAGGACAAAATAATGGATTTTGGAATTACTCATTGTACTGTGTTGCCAGCGTAAATCCTGCCAAGATGCATAATGGCTGAAAGGTCTTGCAAAATTAGTGTCTGATCAATATTTTACATAAAATATTTAGTGCCTGAGAAGAGACAGTCAAGACACAAATCTTACCACTGTCATTGGCATCCACACTGGCGATCTCAGAAAAAGTCAGCTTTCTAAATGTTGTGAAAAAGAAGGAGATGTTTCCAGGTCAGGACTGCAGGGCAGATTGTTATTGAAAGCTTGAAGAGTTCTCGCATTTCCATTTGGAGCAGCTGAGGGGGAAATGAACTTTTAAGATGGAACTCGATCAGTTCATGAAAAGAATTGTACGATATGACTGCATGGGACAGCATAAAAGCAGACATAGTGACACAGCAAACAGCTCTGCAGTTATCACCTTAAGTGTTGTTCCTATTTTGTAGGTAAAAAAAAAAAGAAAAGTACAAAATCATCAAGATTCTTGAGGTAGGACTTTTTTATAAGTTGAACTTCACAATTATTTTTGCAGCAGTGATTCCTTTATTATAAGGGAACAGAATGTGAAGAGGAGAGAAACAGACAGAATGAGAAGAGAAATAATATTCATTCAGTTCAGAGAGTCAAACCTGCACTTCCATGCAAGCTTTTATGAAACTGCTAAGGGCACTTTACTATCAAACATTATAAAAGCCAAAAATAAGTTTAAATGCCAAGTCACACAAACATATCTTGACAAAGACTCAGAATCATATGAATAAAGACTAAGGAGTTCAGTAAATTTGGAGCATAATGCTTTAAATAAGTCTAAGTCTCTGAATATACCTGTCAATATGTAGAAGAGATAATTAATTGTCATAGCAGGATTGAGAAGTGCATGCCAGAATGTGAAGAATAAAAAGGCTTCAGGCAGTAACAGCATTGAGTAAGTCCATCTGTTATGCTTTTTTTTTTAATCCCTAGGTGTAGGGAAAATTGCAGATGCTAGGTTCAGTGGAGTAGGCACAAGCTGATTTCTAGTTTCTTGTACTTTCTTCTTTTCTTCTAAAATCTGAAGAAAAATCTTTGAAATCCTCAGAATTAAAGACATGGAAGGATAAAAACAAACCCATTTTTCAGAATGCTTGACCATATTCAATTCTTGTTCAGAGATGCTCAAGAGAAGCAGAAACCTACACCTTGCTGTTTTGGTTTTACGAGTTTCATCTGGGGGAAGCTCCAAGTGCAGTTAAGCAGGTTAACCTGAGTCACTCAGCTGATTTTAGAAAATACTGCTCTAATGCCACAGTATGGAACAACTGCATGCCTGAGAGACCTGGATTTTCAATTTCCATTGAAGCCAAGAGTTTTCTAAACACTACAAGAAATGATAGACTAAAATAATTTACAAAAATGAAGCCCATGAGTACTTTTTGCTACAAGGGGCAGTTCAGGTTAGAGTAAGGTTTTTCTTACTGTACTCTGAAATTCACACTACAAAGGTAAGGACTACCAGGGCACACAGATGGAGCTGCTGGTGTGGCAGAAAGCTTGATGCATTCAGAGGCAGGATACTTTGAAATACCTCCTATTCAGGAAGGGGCAAAGCTTTGTGTTCTTATACTGAAGGAAATCTTCCACATCTACACCATTTTAATTTTTTTTAATAAAGGGTAATAGAAGGTCTGTAAACGCAAACTTGCTTTTGCAAAGAACCAACCTAAAATGGAGACAACATATGTGGTTTGAATTTCCAAACCAAACAGTTCAGAGATCCTCCTTGGAAGAAATATAGTGTCTCAAGGGCAGTGTATATTTTGATTGCTTCGTCTTCTGAAAGTTGCAATTAAGCTAAGGTATATGATAAATTTGAGAGAAAAAAGTTTAATGATGAACCCACAGAAGCCAATAAAAGTTTTCCTGTTGACTGCACTAGAAGCAGATCCAGTGTATATACCATTCATGAATTAAACAAATGAGTTCTAAAAACTCATGCTGACTGCTTAGAAGATCAAGCAAATAAAGGAATAAAGTCACAGAAGCTCTTTCTCTGTGTAAAAAGGCTGTGGGTTACAGGATTAATTTTTTATGGTATATCTCTATATCCTGGATAACCAAGTAAGCCTTAACTTGTGGAATCTTAATAGTCATCTCAGTGCTGAAGTCCAAAGGAAACCCAGAGGAAACTTAATAATATTAAAAGTTATTTTAAAGGGAGTTCACATTGGTTTGAAGAATATTTTGCTTCGCACACAATATCCACCATTGTAAATTCAGAGAACCTAGATTTAAATTCAGAAAAGCTTCACACATCTTTACAGTCCTCAATATATAAATCTAATAGTATTTTTAAAATGTTCACCAGTAAGGCATGAATGTTTTACAGATAAAATTAAAATTCTGAGAGTTACTGGAACAAAAAATAAAGAAAAATAGTAAAAATATTCCCTCTAGAAAAGAGGGGAAACCTGGAACTTTGTGGTAAGAGGCTAGCTTGTCCATGTTGCAATGAATAGAGAATAGTCTGTACAGTTTTTCATATCTGACTTGCAATAGAAGATTGGAACATATAGAAATTAATGTTACTGAATTATTTAATAGTAACTCAAACACATGAAAAGATGAATTAAAGAAACACAGGACTAAAAATCCATTTAAAATGAAATCAGAAGCTTCAACAAATATATTTTTCCCTTGCAGTCAAAAAAGTAATTATCAAAATTGTTCAGAATATGTTGCCAATTACTCTGCTCCATAACTGCTAACTTTCTCAGTTCTTCTCTTGCCTTTGCTGGGCTCTCTGTCACTGGAAACATCTTAAACCAATTTAAAGTGCTACACCTGAATAAACATGTTGTAAAAGTGTTTATGTATTGAAGTGGGTCAGTTCAAGGTATGGTATTTGGCTGGAACTTCTAATTTCTCTTTTTACTGCAAAAGGGCTGCCAGAAGGAGGAAGTCTGAGCTGAATTAATACATTTGTTACAGTGGAAGTAGAATGGAAACTACTTTAACCACAAATCAAACTGCCTCTTTCATTTAAGCCAGTGATAGAGTTTTTTTAAGAAATATAGACTCTGGCATGCAGCCACTGTAAGTTTGTGTTTGAAAAGGAAACCTATATGCTTATTTCTATAAGGTTTACTCCTATGCTAGTTTGCAAGTTCTTTTTCAGGATGATTGAGTTAACAGCATTATATGTTTGTCAGGCAGATGCTCCTCCGTCGCCCGCATAGCAAACTTTTCCAGTCGGTTTAGAGGAATCCTCAGGCGCCCTGATGCCGCACAGAGCACTCGGTGCCTGTGCCCACACCTCCCCATTTAAAGGACCTCTGTGTCCCCCACCCAGCACAGCTGCACAACTTCACATGACACTGTCTCATTTTCTGACGGTTGAAGGGCTCTGCATAATACACGTACGCACAAAAGTGTTTATGCTGCCAAAATAAATTCTGTTAAGAGCAAGGGTTTATTTGCTAAAATGTCACTGATGCAGTTTCATTGACTTGTTTTGCTTTCCTTTCTTTCGGTGAGGTTTAGACCACATAATATAGTGAGATTACCACACAGTCCTGACTGAACAAATATTTTAAAGAAATATGCAAATCCCCTGGGAACAGAACCAGAGTCAATAATGTACATATTTCAAACTCTCTTCTCTAGAAAGACTGAATGGCTTCCTACCTTTGCTGGTGAATGAACATCAGTTTGAGTAACACTGTACAATACTTATTTTTAAAGCAGAAGCATATTTATTATCTACACTTCTATTTGCTACTGATTTGCTTTGGGGATATAAGGTTCTACATGTCACACTGAAATGATGCAAAGATTAGAAGACCACATTACATGGTCCTTTCTGTAGCAAATAGACCTTAATGGGGCTCATTTATTTTTGAGTTCTATAGATGTGTGCATGAGACTGAATTAAAATATCTGTGTAATGAGTAAGATATATAGGATACAGAGACTGCAATTTTATGCAATAACAAACTATCTGTAAAGCTCTTGAAACTTCTGCAAATGGTTGAAGTTTTTTGTCTTTTAAGTTCTGTTCAACAAAATGCTGTTAGGATTCTTAATCATGTAAATTCAGGATTATGGAGAATTCCTTGGTATGTTTCAGTCAGCAGTTTAACTCCCACTGTGGCTTCAGGCGGGGCAGAAGTTCACCTTTCAACTTGCAATTTCCATTACTTTATAGGTCGAAGTATCAATGTTAAATCTGCTGGCCTGATTGGAAGACATGGGCCTCAGTCAAAGCAACCATTCATGGTTGCATTCTTCAAGGCAAGTGAAGTGCTTCTCCGTTCTGTCCGAGCAGCCAACAACAAAAGGAAAAATCAGAACCGCAACAAATCCAGTAGTCAACAGGAGTCTTCTAGGATGCCAAGTGTTGGGGGTAAGATGAAGCTATGCTTTGCTAGTCTGTTTATAGGAGTTGTGGGCACTTGATCAAATGCAATGGAGTCACAGCAGCTCAACAAGATACTGCTCACCGGCTGAACTGCCAGAAACTGTGCTCCCAGTCCTCTTTTGTTATGTTGGCCCTGAGCATGATCTACCTTCTGTAAGTCAGTTACATGTACCATGGGGTCCATGAGGGTTAAATGACCAAGTAGTTTAAGAAAGGCTCTATCTGAGCTTGAAACAAGTCCTACACATTTGGCAATTGGATGATTTCTTTGCTATTCATAACAAAAAATAGATAGTAAAGGAAGGTTTGCACCCCAACTACTTGTCAAGGAAGCCTAGCAAGGGACAATGTTTAGAATTTTTGTTAAACTGTCTCTCAGCTGAAGACAAGAAGTAACACAAAAATCTGAATACTGAAAATGAGGAAGCTTAACCAATCTGAGAAAATGTATACTGTTTATGATTTTAGACCAGCTGACATGTACTGATGTAAACACACAGTATATCCCTGAATTGAGTCAATTTGGTCCCTTACCTACCTGAGAGGTACTGACAATAATGCATATGAAAATGTCTTAGTCCCATTAGAGCCTGAATTAAGTTTTGCTTCAGTTCTTTCCCGAAATACTCCTTCCAGCTGGAGTCATAAAGCCGCGTTCTAAATATTCTCGCTTTTGAACAAACACTTATACTTTTTTGAAACAGGATGTGAAAATGTATCTTTCTAGAAGCATGGCAGATCTAGTAACAGCATATCAAAACCTCAATATAGATGCTATTCCTAAACCCCATGGATGTCTACATGTAAGCAAATCATTATTTAGTAGAAGGAATTTAGCCTGGGAGTGGAATTCACTTATTTGAGGAGAAGCGTTACGAGCAATATGCATTGCTTATATCCATCTCAGAACCTTGACAGAGGCAGGTTAGAGACTCCTCTAATGTAATACAAAAGCCTTTCCCTGATCTTTTGCAGAAGGATGAATTTTGCCACAACAACCAGAAATTGCTATTGAGTTGCTAAAGAAGTCAAAGAAATTATTTAAATAATTTTTCATATTTCCTGGAAAATGTCTACTAATTTGGAGAATCACATTATTTTGGGTGACAGGTAAATCATCTAAGTACCTGGTACAAACATGATACCTAAATATAAATATCACACTTTCAGATTGAATCCTATGTTTCTAGTGCATGAGGAAATGAGAATTGAACAGATTTCTTAAACCTTCTTGATTATGGCAGGAAATCAGAACACAAGCTACTTGATGGTTTAACCTGGGAAAAACTCAGCCTTAACACATGCTGGCAAGCTGCATTGACATGAGAATTACCTCAGGAAGAGCTGTCTGAAAGTCTCAAAATATGTCAGCCTTGTCCATGCATCCAGTTGTGCTCCAGAGCTGCTGTAAAACAAAAAAATCAACATCTTTAGGAAAATGTGCATAATGAAACAAATTTTCTCCTAACATCTTCAAGGTCTACATAAGCGTAGAGGTACATCACTATATACATTGATCCATGACAAATCTCTTTCAAAAGAGATTGCAGTTCAAGAATACCATACTGTTAAAACAAAATCAGGTTAAGAAGCAATTGCATGTAAAGTTGCATCAAAATCAGGGACACTGACCTCTGACTGAGATGGAGGCAGCAAGATATGGACAGGCTGGAGTAGATGGCAAAGCTGAAGGTAGGTAAGTCACTACAGTCTCAAATGGCAACATTCTCTGCAGCAAAACTTTTTGGAGGTGTAGGTCCTGCACCATGGCAAATCAGCTTCCATGCTCCTGCCTTGCAGTTTGCCTCAACAATCCTCATATCGCAAATCAACAAACTTCTTTTATTTGAGTGCTGCTAATGATCATTGATGGGACTTTTCACACTACAAGTGATTCACAACACTTTTCCTTTTAATAGCTATTGCAACAGTACTCATTAAATACTGTGGATAAGCCTGCTGAAGGCTACAAAGGCAATGTACAGATTCTATCCAGATGCTCCAGTGTGCAAAAAAGACATAGAGAAGAGAACATGTTCTTATTACTCCAATCATTGAGTCTTTGCAGGCTCCATGTGGAGAGCCTGCTATCAGGGAAAAGCTATGCCCTTTACCTCCTCTTCACAAGCCCCAGAAAGTGGGGGATATGCTGCATCCCTCCAAGTTCTCTACAGCTTCCAGTAATGAGCAGCACTTCAAAAGTATGTTTTCATCCCTTCATATTTAAATGCAAAAGTTTTTGGGAAAAAGACCAAAGAATTCTGGCCATCATCTTTATGGAAGATTCAATAGACTACATTCAATTCTTATTCTCTCCCTGATGCAAGACACTTGACACAAAAGACACAACGATGGGCAAAGGTCACTGTGTGATGGAGGTAATTTTTTTCCAAACTTGTTCCATAATCATGTACCTACAGCATGTAAGACAGATGTTGACAGTGAAAAATGCTCACTTATAAAGCCATAGGTTACGTAGTCAGGCCCAGATAGGTGTGTTATCATTTGTATGTCACAGGCTTTGGTTATACCTCTCTCTATGCATCAATCTCAACTTCACTATGAAGTCATGTCTTCATTTTCTTCTTGCTTTTTTTCTTCTTAATTTTCTGTTTCTTGAGGGTTTCCCCCTTTTTTCTCCTCTTTTTTTTTCCTCTTTTGCCCTTGCCTTCTGTCATCTTCCTTTTGCCTCCTGCCTTTTGTATTTTGCCTTTTTCTTTTTTAAGTTCTTGGACCTCAGCATTAGCTTTACTGTATTCTGAGCACATCAAAAAAAAAAAGCTCCACTGGGCAACTCAGCTCTTCACTTCCAATGGACCAGACAATTTTTGAATTATTCATGAAGATGCAGAGTCATAAAATCAGCATCCTTGTGTTGCTAAGAACTTCAAGAGAAGATTACCTCAATGCAGTATAAAGACAGACAGAATTAATCTTAGCATTCAGACTCCAACTGCCTGCTGTGCACAGAGGATTGAACTGATTATTATTTGCCCAGTTTTATTTTTGTCAAACTGTAGAAAAAAAAAATTATTAAAAACCCAAACCAAAACTAGACAACTCATTCCCAAAGGACATGACATAGCTGCTCCTTAAAACCAAAGTTGGCTTAATTTTAATTTTTTTAACCTTTTGTAAAAAGAGTTACAGTGTAATTGGACACTAGAGAATATCCAGATTTAAATATTGAATATTGACTTACACCAGGAAAATGCAAAACAAAGCTACATAATTTTTGTTCATAATGCAGTGAGATAAAACCAGAAAACAATATTTAAGTCTACATTTCCTGTATTTTATTGATTTATGCCACACTAATTAATTAAAAATGTAGTACTTTGGAATAATATATATAGGCATGTTTACATGCCTCTGTTTTCCCTGCAAAAAAGTCCTCTTGAAACTTCTTATATATATATTTTCTTGCCCTCCTTCCACAGCTCTTCCTACTATGCAGAGGCTTGGATTCCAACTGCAGTCTCTGAATAGCTGAAGAACAATATTTTCTAGGTCACAATAGCCTACAGTTCTGATTCTTCACAGAATAAGCATATGGGCCTTGAAGCTACAGTATGTGAAATTGAATCCTTGGCATTAGATCCTATTATAAATGTCACATTTGATACCTACATGAAATGCTACATTACACACAAAATTTGTCTTATATGAAAGATAGAAATCAAGGAAGTGTCACTTTCTTCATAGGTGACTTCGTTAGGTGGCTTGCAGTCTGTATACACAGACCATTTTATCAGGTGTTCTGGTGTGACTACTCATCCACTGCTAGTTAACCTATATTTAAATGATCCAGAGTATCAAGACAATGGTGACATCTGTGGAGTGACTTACATATTTATTATTCAGACTTTCTCCTGTAAGTGTAGGGACTTATGCTACATCCTGGCACTAAAATGTCTGTACATGTTCTCAAATAAAAAAATGTCGTAACAGAGAAAGCTGGCAAAAGCAAAATCTTCAGCTTTCATTTGTTTGCCTGCTTGGGTGCTATCTAAAACCAGACTGTGAGTTTTCTGACTTTCTCACATGCATATCTTTTCCACATTTTTTAGTCACAGTTTTTTTTGCAAAGTGACTTGTATTCTATATGTATGAATTTTAAATTCCCACTAATAATTGAGAGGGAAAAGCTCAATATTTACTTCCTATGAGCACTGATATTAGTTAAAATGAGTGTATAGATCCTCATAAAGAATTATCAGTGAAACACAGTTCTGTTTTTCTAAAGCTAAAGTTCCTTTACTTTTGATTACCTTCATGTTACTTCTAGTGTGTTTACAGAACATGCTGGATTACTACAGGTAACTCAGAACAAAGTATGATTTAGGGGTTTTTGTTATATTAAAGACATACAGATTTTTGAAAACTTGTGATTTCTTAGGGCATCCTGCGTTCCTTCTAATTGCTACTCCAGAAAGACACAGGACTCCCATGGGACGTGGGTGTATATTTTGACTCAGCACGACCTGGGACAACTGAGATTATCTGAGATGGCAGCTATCTGCAGAGATCCTTTAATGACTGTCATTGAAGGGCTAGGAAAACACCATAGGAAAGAATGAAGTGTTCATCTTTAAAAAAGAATGAGGATTTGAGGTATTATAGATTAGGAAGCCTAACTTAATATCCCTGATGGTTATTTAGTACTACAAATGGACATATCTTGATTTGTGGACAGCTTTTGACACAATTTTGGGAGTCGTATTGGGGCCTATGTGTATTCAACAGAAAGTAGGTACACAGGCTGTTTAAAAAACAAAGAAAAAGCCTATTCAAAGAGCATGTTATCAATAAGAGAAAAATTTGTGTGGGTATTTTGAGTAACATCTGGTTGAATCTCTCATGAATCTTTTACCTTTTACTGGTAATTTGGATGATTCAGCACTCCTCCCAGATCTCGTATCCTCTGTTAACTTGCAGAGAACACACTCTATTCTATTTTCCAAGTTACTAACAAAGATGTTAGTCAGTACTGGCATCAGTACTGACCCCTAGTAACCAGCTGCCAAGCAGACTTTGTACCACTGATTCCAGCCCTTTGAGCCCAGCAGCCTAGACAAGTTTCCATCCAGTATAGTCTTACCTATCCCAAGTTATTGATTGGATTGACCAATTTGACTCTAGGATATTGTGGGAGACCATATCCAAAACCTTCCTAAAAACACAGGAAACAATACCCAGTGCTCTTCAAAAGCCCACAAAACTTGTCAGCCCATCACAGAAAACAGTGAGATTGGTAAGGCAGAGTTTGAACTAGTAAATTCATGCTGACTGTTCCCAAACACCTTCTTGTTCTTCATGTGCCTGGACACAGTTTCCACAAGAATTTTTTCCACAAACTTCCCAGAAACTGAGGTTAAGCTGATTGGCCTTCTTGAAGATGGGTGTGACATTTTCCATTTTGAATAATTGGAAAAATCCTCCAGTGTATGAACACTCAAAAATGGCAGGAAGTGACTTTGAAATGAGGTTGGTCAGCTCATTCCCCACCCTGAAATTCATCCTTTCTGTTTACACGGACTCATGTATCTTGATTGTTTAACTAATTCCTAACTCTGTTTCTTTTACTATGGATAGAACTTCAGCCACTAGGGTCAGGGACTCAGAAGCCCTAAGGGCAAATCTTGCGAGTAAAAAAAGAGACGAAGTCATTGAGTACCTTAACCTTTTTGAGTCCTTATCACTAGGTCCTTCACTCTACTAAACACAAATCTGTATTTTTCTTATGTTTTCTTTTTGCTATGAATATGCCTATAGAGGTACTTCTTGATGACCTCACGAGTTTCAACTCAAGCTAAGCTTTAGCTTTCCTAATATCTGTCCCTCCATGCCCAGGCAATGTGTTTATATTTTTTCTGTGTAGTTCATCCCAATTTCACATTACTTTTGCTTCATTTGAATTTGAGTTCAGTCAAGAGTTTTCTAGTCAGCCACAGTGTCTTCGTGCCATACTTGCCTGACTTGCAATGGGTTGCAATGCTCTTGTTGTTGTCATCCCTCGGAATCTTGACTGTACTGTACTATGTTTGCTGCAGCCCCATCACGCTGCTGGTGTCATCAACATCCTCACCCCCAAAATCTGCTTTTTATTCATTGATTTGTACAACTACAACAGACTATTAAGGTGACTAGGCAGGAATATATAAAAAAAGATTCTGAAGCTCACCATTTGACAGTGTGGTTTTGCTGCAAAATTCCTAGTCTGGGTTACACTACTAGAAAACAATCTGGAAATAATATGAAATAACTACTTAATTTGGCACTGTGTTCAGTTGTGGTCATCACATCTTCGGAAAGACATAGAGAAGCTGAAGAGAACCCAGAGAAGCAATGAAAGAAGAGATCAGGACAGTTGAGGAGAAGGAGCTGTCAAATTTGCAGAAAAGTTCCTTTAGGCTATATATTTGGAAGAGTTTTCCATAAGGATAGTGAAGAACTACATAAGTTATCTCACAGTCTGTAGAACTCCCTTCCTTTCATTTTATGTGAGAAAAGGCCTCTATCTCTTAAATATCCTGAAATTTTTCAGGATAATTTCAGAGATGTTCCCATTCCAGCCTCAGGGCTTATAATGTTAAAAAAAAATGTTCCTAAAGAAATGTCTTTTCCTGGAACTGAAGACTTTGTTTCTTTTTCCATGTCTTCCTTGTTTGTTTGGGTCTTATGGGATTTTGTTTGTTTGCTTTTTCTTGTTGTTGTGAATTTTTTTGGTGAACTTTTTTTTCTTTCCAGAATGGTTATTTTGGTCCAAAAAATTCACTTTAAGCATTCTTTAATTGGAAACGGAGGAGACAGCCTGTACTGCCTGCTCTATTGCATACCTCAGTTATGGCATCACTTGAATAGCTCTATAAACCAGCTCTGTGGTGATAATGTGATGAAGGCATGACCCTCTTCCCTTCCTTTCCTATTACTAAGGAGCAGTAAGGAACAAGTACTAGAATTTCTCCAGGATTACGATTGTCATGGAGAAGCATGTAGGGAAGATTCTCTGTGTCCTATCCTGACACATCTCTGACAGTGCAGAAACTTTCAGTCCTTTAAAAAGCACCTGTTAATCTACTTGTTTACATTAGTATTACCAACTAAAGATCATCAAGTAGCGAATATTTCCAGAAAATATGGTAAAAAATGAAGGCATATGAAATGTCCTATTATGTGTTTAAATTACAAACTTTGGGAAATTCTGTTGTTTCAGGACAATTTTTATCATTGTTAATTTATCTTTTGAATTGGGCTACTTTCTTTACCTGGCAATTAAAACTGTACCAGCATACAGATGACTTCCCCATATCTTGGATCAGGCTCTTCCTTGTCCTCTTTGGTTACCTGTGTGCATATTATCAGAGGTCTTACCCAGCTAGCCAGCAAACAGACATCATGTAAACCTGTCTCCCCTAATGCTGTATGTCTTATTTTGCCTGTGTACACAAATTGTATCAATCTGCCTGTGTTCATTCTGCATGTCCAAGTAAACATCACCTTTACAACCAACCCTAGAAATACAAATGACAGTATGGTTTTTATTTCCTTTGTATAGTTTGGTCAGCATCTCAAAAACAGCTAAATCTTGTCAGTTCTAGCAATGCTTCTAAAAAATTTATTAATATTATTTTCTTCCTGTAGATTACAACACGAGCGAGCAAAAGCAAGCATGTAAGAAACATGAACTTTATGTGAGCTTCCGAGACTTAGGATGGCAGGTATGACTATCAGTGCTTTTTCCTATCAGTTCCAATTGGGACTATCTATTTTACAGTCCCCCACTATTTACACCCTGTTTTCTTTCTGGTAATTGGTATATCACTGATGAGAGACAAATTCTTTAAATGCATCTTGTAACAAATCCCTATCAGTATTGCTATCACTCACTATCTCTTTACCTTTTTTAGCTGTTCTCTCAAAGATATTGCATACATTTGTGGCTTTATTATCTGGATTCATTCACATAAAGATAAATTTGAACTATTACTCAAGATATGAATGAATCTGCAGTAAATGAAACCAAAATACCCACACCAAGTAATGCAACTTTTTTAATTTGCGCTTGAATTCAACCTGGTTTAGTGCTGTCTACTGCAGGTCAGAGAGATTTCACTGGGGTAGGATCCTTAGGGAAGTAAATCCTGGATCACAGCTCAGTGGTCTTCATAACATCATAGCTAATTTTATATAATTTCTGGGGAAAACTGGGGAATCCTGCCATACAGTAACAAAAAAAAAATGTAGTAAAAGGTCATGAAATCAGAGGAGAGGCATTACAAGAAAAGAAAATAGACATTGATCTAGGTTTTTTTTCCAGAAAGCAAGGAACTCTCTATAAAGAAAGAACAAGAAGACCATCAGCAACCTATAACCTAGACATATTGCATATGTAGGCAAGAATTCAGAGATGGCTGTCTTTGCATCTCACATTTCTCTGAATTATTTTAAAACAACTCTCCAGGAGCAGAAGTCTACGAGGAGAAAAAGTATGCTATCTCTTTGGTGGCAGCTCATCCTTTATGTATCTAGCTCAGATTCTCATATGGCCTTATTATCCTATCTGATATTTTGTAGTGTATTTATCCTCACAGCAGCCTGAAGAAGCAGGCAGAAGCTGTTTTCCCAAGTCTTCAAAGCATAACAACCCCATCCAGGGCCACAGAGCAGGCTTGTGGTATTGAACTCAGGCTACTGAACAAGCAAGCCATTATGTCTCTGTAGATCACAGATTTTTTTAAAGATATCAACAGCTTTTTAATTTTTCTAAACAGTAAATTCTGATATGCTCCAAGATGTGCAAGGTTCTCAGATGAGTGGCCATAGTGGCCAAGATGGCCATAGAGAAAAAAAAATATATTTTTATCCCAAAAAGTACCTTAAGAGATAAAAGTTTCAGCTAGAAAGCCAAAGCTACACTGTACAGTATTTGATCAGTGAAATCCAGGGTGAAATGACATACAAAAAAAAAAAAAGATACAAACCCCAGGAAGTAGGTACCTGATCCTCTCTGTCCTTCCTACAGCACTTCCATTACCTGGCAAAGGAGTAATTCAGCAAACTAAACACACAACTTCCATTAACATTTTAAAATATTTTCCCTCTTGTGGTCTTTTGCCCATACTGTGTTGCTAGAAACATTCAAAATGCATGATTCATTGACATGCCAACGCGTAATTACTAGCAACCCTCAGTTTCACACAGTAATACAGTTAATGGTATTGAGTATGCTGAAGGAAGAGAATGCATTTTAATTACTTTTGTTGCACCAAGAAATGCTCAAGATTTTTGGTTTGGGAGGAAAAGTATTCTACAAATGTATTTTGATCTTTAATTCCCCTTATGGTCTCATTAGCTGGTATTCAGTACGGATTTTTAAGTTCAATTTAATTTTCATCTCTGTTCTGCATGAACAAAGCAATTACTTTAAAAAAAAAAGTTGTTTCACATGCCACCTTCTGAGGTTCCTTTTGTCATTGAACAAGTCTTAGTTTGATATAGTTCCAAATTCTCAGTGAGAAAAAAAATATTGAGTGGATCTATTTGCTCTTGTTTTAGGATTGGATTATTGCACCAGAGGGCTACGCTGCATTCTACTGTGATGGAGAGTGTTCTTTCCCCCTCAATGCCCACATGAACGCAACAAACCACGCCATTGTTCAGACTCTGGTATGCTTCTGCCTATGTTGTAGTTGCTTATTATGCAGTTGTTAGTGTCTTTGCTCAGGGTCTGACTCTTTTGTTTACTACTATTGAATTTTGATTGTTTCTGGGTAAATGATAACACATTTCGAAAACATGCATTGATGATTATGTTGGGGAGAGGATGAGCTGCTCAGAGTGGCCTGTGTGGTAGGTTCCCCCTCCATTTTAAATGTGATTACACGTGAGAGTACTGTGTCATGTTACTGGAGAATCGTTAGGAACAAAGGGGGCCCCCTGCTCTGACTTCCAAGAGTTTTTCAGCTTATTGAACTCCAGTGTTAACATCTACATGCTATACCTTCCAGAAATGATGACACTTGGCCACTCGGTGGACCTCTGTTGTCAACTGTTGGCAGAGATACTTACACTGTAATTTAATGTGAAGCTTTGCAAACAGATGCATTTGCATGTAAGAAATTGTGTTCAGTCATGCCTGGCTTATAAATGCAATTTAAAAATAAGTGCGTTTGGATCTCTTGCTCAGCCTGGTACATGTAAAAGGGGATTCACAGCCAGCTTTCTGGCTCTGCTTTTCCTTATGTTTTCTCCTGTGCCTCAACAAAAGCAGCCAAAAAGATGATCTTAGTTGAGGCAGCTGGCTAGGCCTCCTCTACCCTGGCAGCATTCAGCTACAGAAATCATGACCTTTAGACTATGCCTAAATGTAATGCTGTGAGGCTGAGTCTGGTTGGTTTGGTCAAAAATTGATTTTTCACCTATGCTGGCTGAAGAACTGGTATTAGCATTGGTATTAGCAGAATGATTAAGAAGCAGAGGAATCAGGGATAATAAACAAGGAGGGAGCAGCAGTACAAAATCAGAACAGGAAAGGGTTGCCATCTCTAATTTGTTTCTGGAAAGGTCAAGATACTCAACTGCAATTAGAGAAACATGGGTTTAAAGCTCCCTCTGATATAAACTGATAATAGCGAAGTATCCTGACCATCGGATTATGCTGACAGATCTGTCCATGGAAGATGATCTTTTTCTTTGATTTTCACATAAAAAATCTGGGCCTTAAAAACCTTTCCTCCTTCAGAAAGGAGTGCAGTTACTACCATCCCGGGACATCACCCCAAAACCCCCGTCAAATTTAATCCCCACACCAAAAAAACCATCCCAAAACCAAAAAAGAAAATAAACAAAAATGAAGTTTGATATCTTTCTGATAGAAACCAAATTCTGTTTGTGAAAATCGTCAAGTATTTCTAGAAGGTTGAATATTAGGAAGAAATTTTTTACAGAGAGAGCAATCAGACATTGGAATGTGGTGCCCAGGGAAGTGGTGGATTCGCCGCTCCTGGAGGTCTTTAAGATGAGACTGGATGTGGCACTTAGTGCCATGGTCTAGTAACCATGACTGTGTTGGATCAAGGGTTGGACTTGATGATCTCAGAGATCCTATCCAACCCGGTTGATTCTATGATTCTATGACAGGGACATTTTTAAAAACTCATCATATGATGAGACCTTTTCCTTTCCATTCAGCTTTTGTTTACTCCCCCTTTCCAAGTCCAGCCACCAATGCAACATTATTCTTCTATGCCAGAATTCAAGTCAGCAAGATTTATAAAAAGAAGGGAAAATGTCAGGCTGGAAAGAAATAGAAGTGTGTTAAAGGGTTCAGGTGAAAGGAAACAGAAAATGCCAGTTGGCAAGGAATACAGCAAAGTGTTCAGGAGACAATGAAGAACAGTTCAGAGATAAAAAGAAATAGACCAGTAAAGCAATAGTTTAGCATTATGTAAACATTGTCCAGAAAAGTTGCCAATATCAGTGAGATCCCCAGGTTAGAGTTCCCTCCTGCAATTATGGACTGTTAAATAAGAATTGGCCCAACGTTAGTTTCTATTATGTGTCTTTTGTGTCCAAAAATGATTAATTTCCAGTTGTTAAGAAAAGTGTGTAGTTTGTCCTATTTTTTAAATTGGATAGTCAAATTTTTCCCCTTATTATGGCCTTTTTGGAATTGTGTCTCCCTCTGCATGTACAGTACATGCATTCAGTTGTGCAGCCAAAAAATCATGAGGCTAATTAAATTTTAACTGCACATAAATTAGATGAGATAACAGTAGTTGAATGCTTTCTGGTTTAAATTATACAAAAGTCAGATTTACACAAGGTGTGCACATGGGGATGGTTTGGGAAACAATTATTCATACACCCCACCCTAATCTAAATGTATTCATCTCCCGGCCATACTGATTACACCATTCTGAAAAAGCCCATTTTTTGGGTTGGGAAATGATTGTTCCTTGGTACCCCTCCAAACTTTGCTGACTCTTTTTTTATTTTCTTTTGTAATAAGAATGGGAGAAATGCTAGGCCAGTACCTCTCTCTCTCCTTTTTTCTTAGCTGAACTTAGGCAAACAGAATATACAGATCCATATAAATACAAGATAGGCTGCATTTAATGTGTTCTATAAGCTTTCTTCATCACCCTCAGATCAGGCTCAGGAGACGCGCTGACTTCCTGCTCATGAGAGGCAGTGGATCAGCAGGTTGGCTCGTGCTGAATTTGTAGCTAACAAACACTTGAAAAGCCTGTGACCATCACTGCCATGGTTAGCGGGGCCACGGAGCTTCCAGCTGGGGTGGCAGAGGCTGGTGGAACCAGGATTTATGACAGGGCAAACATCTGCCTGGACGAGGCACAATCATTCTTTTCTCCAGTGCTTTGCTGCTCATTTGTTAAACCATTTTTAAGTGTGTGTCTAAACCTTTACTAAACTGCTACTTCAGGATTTATTATTGCTCATTTCAAAAGACCTTCTCATGGTAACAGTTATGTAAAAATTGTTTCCTGATAGACTGTTCTCTGTTGTCTGGCAAAGGCTCTGAGCTTATATCACTGCAAGACAGATGGCTCTAACAGATTTACGAAGACTTAACATACAAATGAAACCTATTACTGCTGAAGTCTTCATCCATGCCTTAATAATCTCTTGCCCTCTCTATTACAACTCCCTCTTCTCTGGCCTCCCCAATTTCCAAGTCTTCAGCATGTGTAGAATATTACATTCAACCTTCTTTAAAGTACAAAGAACTTGTATTTCCCCCATTTTCAGATATTTCCACTAGATCTTGTTCATTCTGGGATGCTGTTCAAAACTCTTTTCCTTCTCTTTAACCTTTCATTGATATATTTCAGCCTAGAGAACACAAAGACTTTTCTTCCTCAGCCCTTTCCCCAGACATTTTATCCAGCTGGCACCCACCTTATGAATTGATTTTTACTTCAGTGGAAGTAGAATTGGATCCACTGATATGTAGATAAGATCCTAAAATGCACTCATACTGTCTAAGAGCACATATCTTACCATTTCATAGGCTGAAAACAGTTCCAGAGCCTTTGCCTGCACAGCCTTTGCTGTCTGCAACAGATTTTCCTCCATGCTGAGATCCCAACACAGGAAAGCATTTTTTTGCACATGCTTGGGTCCTGGTGAGACTCAGGGCTTGAGCCTTTGCTTCATGTTAAGCACTGTCCTCCCCAAAGATGGTACGCACAATATGTTTAAATGTTTTCCTGAGCTGCTGCCTAACTCCAACTCTTCTCTAAATTTCATCTGAAAACCGACTTTCTGTCTTGGCCACTTCTCCTCATTTATCTCTCCATCTGCTTTTATTGTATAACTCTGCCCGTGCAATTGAAATCAGAGCAATGCTCTGGAGGTAAGCTGTGCTTTAAAGTTGCTAACCAGGGAAAATTTGTGACCACAGCCTTCTCTGAATTGCAAAGACATGTTTTCCACTGATGTTGTCCTTGTACCTCTCTGTTTGATATATGAGCTATGTATTTATCTATCTTTCAGGTTCACTTGATGTTCCCTGATCATGTACCGAAGCCATGCTGTGCACCAACAAAACTGAACGCAATCTCCGTGCTCTACTTTGATGACAGTTCCAATGTTATTTTAAAAAAATACAGGAATATGGTGGTGCGTTCATGTGGCTGCCACTAGAATAAAAAGATAATCTAAAGCAGAGGGGTTTATTCAAAATTGTAATAAAGTCAAGATATGAGCGTTGCTGATGAAAAGGCAGGCCGAAATTTATTCCATTTCATGTCATCTCTCATTTAATTGTACAGTATAATGTATATAGTAGCTTTTATTTATTTAAAAGTATATAGTTTCTTTTGTATGAGCAAAATTTCAGAACCGTTTATTTTATGGGTCGCCTCACCATGCAGTAGAAGTTCACAAACTAGTTTTTCAATGGACCATGCTGAAATCTGTTTCATTCTGTTTCAATATTTTAAGGTAAAGCCTTTGTACAGAATTTTTTAAAACTAGAAACTCCAGAACTTCTGTAACGGCTTTGTATTGTTAAAGGAACTAAAATACATTTGGTCATATTGTGCCAATGAAAACTGTGGCGAGGTATTTATTTAGAAAAAGACACAGGGAAAAAAACTAAACAAAACTGCTCGACTAAACATATTTTTTCTTTTAGAAGTTCTGCTCCATTAGAAAAAGTGAAATGTTGAACAGTGCTTAAGTAAATAAATAGTAGATAGAAAATAGAAGTGAAAAAATTGCACATAATTGTTATAACTATTTTCTTTAACAAAATGAGTGTAACTGGAGGAGTATGTTACTTTTTGGCTTGTGAGCTGCAGAGTTTGCAAAAGGCTCCAGGCTTCGGAAATTCCGTGTAGACAGACTCTTGCCTTTATCTAGGACTTTCCAAGTTAACACTAAAAATTGAACTACAACATTCTCACCTCTAATCATATGAGTCTCTTATCTACTACACTGCTCTGGCAAGTATTTTTATAATAGCACCACAAGGTAAAATCAAACAAAACCCACACAATCCTTCCCATAATATACACAGTATATACACTATATACACAAAATATACAGAAGATGCAGTATGGAAGGGCTTTGCTTTATTTAGCTCCTACTTCTGGATGTGTTTTGTGAGTGTGTGAGGGAAGGCATTGGGTATGCAATTGTCACTTCTTTAATCAAAAGTCATGTCCCTAGTGGTGGCTGTTTTCAGAAAAAGATGAAAAACACCTTTCATAACAAGGCATTGGGTAATTTGCAGCCTACTTTCAGTCTCATCTGCTTTTCTATCGGGTGGGAATTAGTTTAAATAATGAGACTCAGTGTGGGATATTGTTCCTTTTATTTTGCATTAACTATTGTAACTTTGTTATAATTCTTAAATCCATATAATAACTTTTTAATCTCCCTAAATTTTTGGCCTCAAATCAAATCCTGTGGTTGTGAATTGCATAACCAATTACAGATTACATTTCCACCACCACTACATATATGCTTATTTTGAATTAAGGACATTTAATGCCTTTGGACACCCCTTTGTTTTAGTGTTATGAAAATGGGAAAACAGAAACTCTGTTTTCTCTCTATTACATGACTAATTATAATAAATGCTTTTATCAGGAATTGACTTCACTAAAAATGCTTCATTTAAACCATTCTCAGAGAGCTGCTAAAAAATGCAGAGGACATATCAGTTTCTCCTTAGACAGTCTATTCATGTAACTCTGTCTTCTCCGGTTATTTAAAATATATTTCAGAAAACTCAGATTATTACAGACTGATAAAATCGGTGTGTGCGTGTGACTGTGTGTATGCATGTGAATGTGCAGCTGCCGTTTTTGCAGAAACTAATTTATTTTATCTTGCTTTTGGAGTAATACATAAATCCTTTTTATGCATACACTCAGTTAAAAAAAGAAAATAAATTAATTAGCAGTCTTGATTTCAGTCTTGGGAACTCTTTCCTCTTAATAGAACAGTTTCATTTTACACTTCCATCTCTGTTTTATACTGGCATTACCTACATATCTACATTTAGTTGCAGATTATGCACAAGGGTGTACGGCAAAATATGTCTCCATCTGAATTACCATTTTGGAACAGTTAGATTCCTGGGTTGTCTTCAAAAATTTACTGGTTTCTTTATAAATTGGGTAGGCAGATATGCTTTTTTTGAACTCAATTTATTTTGAATGGAATTTGATGGATATTAAATTTTGGGTACATTAAGTAATATATTTTTAAATAATGGTGTACCATTTTGAGACTAAGAAGCTGAAGATTATTGTTATATTATTCTTTAAAATATGCTGTTGGAATATATTTCTATATTTTGAGACATAATAAACCTGTAATAATATTTTCCTCTGCTGTGATTTTACTTCTAAGATGCATGACAAAATGGCAGTGACTTGATGTATTCTTTTAAAGTGAAAAGCAAGAGATCACCAATTTTGTTACAGTTCATTTTTAGTACAGACGTTTTGCAAAATTGCTTTTATATTGTTACTTCTTAAACTGCAGATAGTGAAACATCTACACTAGTGGTAAAAATCATGCCTTCAAATGATACCTCCAAGTGCTAATACTCTACTCAAAACATACTAGAAAGGAGAAATGGTTTTTAAAAATCTCACTAAATACATAACTGGTCACTTCTTTGTTTGAAATGAAGGACAGTGGCATCACACCTTCTACATGCTCTGGATAAGTGAATAGATGCATGTTTTCATGCAAATTTGTTCTGGTAAGCTCTTCTTCAGTAGTAACTAATACAGGGCTTTTTGTTCTTTTACTTGATCCTATCAAATGCCTGTTATTTTATAGATATTTATGCATAATATATACACACATATTTAATGCAATGTGTACATCATTATATCAAATATATACCCATATCTGTAGTTATGAAGCTATTCTCTAGTTATGAAGACCATTCATTGTCATTCAGGACACAAGATATTTGTTCTTTGTTTAGGCTTTCTGCATCTTTAACAACTGGGAAACCAAAAAAAAAAGAATAATCCCTGTACAGAATTAATGTTACATTATTTATACAAAGCTTTCTGGTAGCTGACAACATAGCAGTACATCTGATCAGTACAAGACTCAGCTAAAGATATCTTGGAGAGACATTGGCATGGACCTCTTCAAACAAAACAATGATCATAGTTTGTTCTGTTTTGCATCTGTCTGAGGGACTGTCCTGACTGGCACGTCCTTAGCAACACCATGACTCTTCCTTCTTCGATGGCCTGTGTAAGCAAATATGCATTTGTGTGAGTGATTACGTACGCAGTAGAAACGGAGACATACAAGGAGCTCAGGTAACTTTAGGAATAAGAAACCAGTCCTTTCTAGCTGCACGAGAGCGCAGCTCTTTATTTTGCATACTGGCACATATAAAACTATAGAACTGTAGTTAGTCTTTATATTATTATAGGAGTCAATTGTCACACCATTTGGGGCTTCATTTTGGTAAATGGTGTATGCATGAGCAATGTGAGTTACACCTATGCTGCAAACATTCTAACTGAATCTCTCTTTAGGGACAACGTAAAGACATTGCTCTTTTAATTGCAATTCATCTATTTCTCTCCAAAAACTACAGCGTGGGTTTAGAACAGTCACACTGCTTTAGACCTTTTCTGTGCAACTATAATCAATGACAATTCCTGACACCTTAAAAAAAAAAAATTTCATTGTTGAAAAAGTTTTACTGAAACGTTTATTTGGGATGTGAAGCTTTGAGAAATCTTCTGTTATCATGATGAGATGTCAGGCACTACTGTTTTGGAATATAATTATCCCTACCTTTTACTTGGAAAAGGTTGGGTTGCTGACTGTGTTTCTCCTGTTTCTTTTTGGTTGGTTGTTCAGGTTTTTTTGTCAATTCCTGTTTCGAAAAATTTAAAAAATGGTTTAGGCTTGTACTCATAAGATTTTAAATTGTTTCAGCAATAACTAAAGGATTCAAATTATCAGGACTTTAAAATGATGTTATTTGCAATCTCTACCAGCTTTTCTGCTCACACATTCAGCTGTGTATAGGGAGAATCTGACATGTGGTGCCTGAATGACAAACCAGACATATGTGAAGTACAGAGCATTATCTTTTACTATCTCGTCTGCAGTCACAGAACTTGCAGAATGTGATTTACAATGTGTTGCTGAATTCTTACTCACAGGGCTTGAGCAAGAACTTGATTAAAAACAAAAGAAAACTAAACTAAAAATTCAACGAAAAACAGCGAGAGGAGGTTTACTTGCCATCTTAATTCAAATAAATCAGCACCAAACGTGGTACATGAGGAGTTAGGAATCTCATGCGAATTAAATGGGCCTTTTGTATTCTGTTTTCCATATTTGCAACACATGACACAGACACTTCTCCTGACTGCTATATTTCCAGCTAAATACTTTCTGTTCTCTTCCTGTATATTTTTGCTTTCAGATAGGCACCATCAATTATTATTATTAATATGAATGAAGATATTTTCATTGCTTTAGCAGATGTTAATGCTTTACAAAAGAAGTATGTGTTATTAGTATTGCTACTTTACAGGTACAGAAAAGTGGAGAGGCAAGGCAAAGAGAAAAGCAGATGAGAGGCAGTATGAGGAAGACAACCAGATCTCCAGTGTCCCAGTGCCCTAAACCCCGTTCTACGCTCTTGGCCAGTGATGCATACACTTGGCACTCAGGTCCCTGCAGCTCATAACTTTAAGGGAAGATAGGCAGTCCTAGGGGTTACCTGGACCTATATTTTGCATTTACCAAGTATTTTTCTATTTTCATGGTTATTTGTGTGCAGGATACAGACCACACTTTTTCTGTGTGGGGGTGGTTATATTTTAAAGCTACTTCTAGGGAACCAACCAGGATTATCTTGCAGCAGATTTGGAGCACCTTTTCAACAGGGTCATAAATCTACACCAGTAGGATTGAAGGCAGTGTTACATCCCTCCCTTTTCTTACATTTTACTCCTGCTCAGTGGGAAGTTCAGCAATGTGTTAAGACTGAGACTGTGTTCATATCTGTGTAGCAGGGGTTCTCAGGCCAGATGTTGGCTGGAGATATGAGAGCAACATATTTTCTAGGGAACAGCTCTCAGAGAATAATACTGAAGCAGAGATATGGGAGCAGGATCTTCTCTGTAAAACTTGTCCTGGTCTCTTCTGGGTCTCCAACTGACTTGTGAGCAGAAACATTTGTGAAAATGAGAAAACTTTTTGACTAAATTGTAAGGAGAAAACTTGCTGGGGGCTCTTTCTGGCATCTCTGCCTCTGTAAATTCTTTGACAAAGGAGAAAGCCAGGCTTGAACCTGGAGCTACTCAACTGCACAGAGACCAAAAGTTGAACGAGACATGGTGGAGAAACATGCCACATATATCAAACTCCCTAAACTGATCTAATTGGAAAATAAAGCTTTTCATGCCTGATACTTTTCTTGGTTGCTGAGCTGTCTTGCCACAAGAACGTGTGTTCCCTTTTATTTGAGCGAATTTTACATCCACCACTGGAATTCCTTACGAAAATTAGTGTTTCTCCCTTAACCTCTGCAATGGCTCTTTTCAGCCTTCTCTGCATGTTATCTGTTTTATTATTCAAGGCTAACAGCTCCCACAGGGAGCTGCTCTTTCATAGACTATGCTGCAGAGATAGAACAAAGACAAGACCTGCCAAGTCAGTTACTTGTTTAATTGGGATGTGAATCTTTGAGAAATCTTTTTGCTTACACTTTCTTTCTTTTTTGCATGCATTTGGATTTTTCTTGGTTTGCTGACTTGGTATGAATTCTTGTGGATAAAGCCACATAGGTAAGCGTATAGAGTTCTACTAAACCTTTCTGTGAAAAGCATTTGTGCATTTCGCAAGAAACAAAACTTCCTAATTGGTTTCCTCTTTAAAAATGGAATTGATATAGCTAGTAAAAAACTTGTATTCCCCATAAAGGAAAGAGTTTTTAAAAAATTACTGAGCCTGGTTACCCTTCATGTTTTGAAATCTCTTAATTTAGTCAAAATTTAGCATTTCTAAGTAGCAGGACCTATATTCTGTACCTCAGAACATGTATCAAAGGACCAGATCTCTATTCTCAGATACACTGATGTACATACAGATCTATCAAAATTAATAATGCCCTTGAAGTACTCATAAGCATATTTCTGATTCTTTCTGTTTACTCGTATTGGACAGTGAGGTAATGTTATTCACACCAGAATACAATTAACTGCTTAATTTCTTCTCCTTATAACCAAGGCCTTATGCTTTTACTCTTTCCTCTAACCCATCTACAACAAAATATGGCTGAAGGTCACTCAAAATGATGGGAAAATAATTTCATGCTTCATAACTGAACTGAATGTGGAAATTCCCAAACTTTAATTAGAATTTTTAAAAACTATGATGAAAACAGTTTTTAAAATGTTTTTAAAAAGATCATTGCTGATCTGCAGAGCCCAACACCAGTGCTGTAGAAGTGGCAGTCAGGGCAGAGAAGCCAGGACTGTGTTCATAGATGGCAGAAGCCCTGTATGGGGCTGTGGCTGCAGGGCGCCAGTATGCTCAGATGAGGAGCCAGAAGCCCACATTTGTGGAAAGGAGCCTGGAAGCTGCAGGGTTCCCTTCTCTAACACTGTGCAGACACGTGGGCTGTTCAGCTAGGAAACAGGAGAGGTATCTCGTAGAACAGTGCACAGTAAAGCCCACTGAAAATGCCTCCATTTAATCATAAAAGTGCTTAAAGATATGGCTCTATTTCAAAAATAGAAATGTATTCATTGTGAAATTCCCACTCTGGTTAAAATTTCTCCTGACATTTCTGAGTGAAGCTTCACTGACATTTTCACAGAGGTTTGCTCATTTTTGGCAGGAAAGAATTTGACCCCTCTCTTCAATCATGTTACACCCCATTTCAACTGACTGTCTCTTTTACCATTCTCTTAGTTTTTCCCATGATGTAAATACACACTGCAGTAGAAGCAGCAATATTCCTCTGGATTTACTTTAGAATAGCTAAGTAGTGTTGCAAAATACTTCCTACGTTTTCCTCTCATTCCTCTGAATCATTTTTCTTAACCGACCTTCGCTGGTTAAAAAGCTGTAAGAAATGAGCCAAATAATAATTGTTAAGGCAGAAATCAGGCAAAATGCATGTATTTACATTGTTTGAATTAGGTAACTAAATGTAATACACAGCTATTATCCTCTCTTTACAGTCATTAGTTACGCAGCACCGCTCTGACTCTGAGCACTAAGGCCTATCAGCCTTCATGAAGAGCAGTCTGCTTGAACTTTCAAGCAATGCCAGGCCAATAAAGCTGCTTCAGCTCACAGATGTGATTTTTGCAAT